CTTCAAGGACTGTTTTAAACATCTTCATGGACAGTACAGTGGATTTATTCCCTTGAGGCTATACATTTTTATTTTTAATCCTGTCTTGCCATATATAAAACATTTTCCTATTTAAATTAATATTTCTATTATAATTTTGGTAAATATTCTTCAATAAAGTGTTAAATGGTTTTAGTTTTTTGTAACTGCTTATTAGAAGTAAAGCATCACTTTACCATTGAACATTACTGAATTATCTTTTGATCAATTACAAAATACAAACTTACATTAGGAATCATGATAAATCACTGGGTCAGTGCTAGACATGCAAAACAAAAACATCTTAAAAATGTGCTCTAAGAACTTGTCTTTTTTAATATACATTTTTATTTTATGTCTCTTGTGGTAATACACTGAAACGTGCCCAGTATGTCTGAAGGGACCKAAAATAACTTTGTCTAGTAAAAAAGAAGTTTTTAAAGATTTACCAGATATGAAGGCACAATTAACTTCACAGGATTATTAAATATATGCTTTATTTGACATATGGGTAAAATAAACCTGTTATTTATTTGAACAGGTAAGTACATTTTTGTTGAAAGATGATTTCTCCATATTCCCGTGTGTCTGGGACAGTTTCTGATCTGTTGAAAGAGCATAAAGTACAAGATGTTTTAGATATTTTGATCACAAAGGATTACATCCTGAGGTGGAAGAAAACTTTTTGGCAGCAAAATATCAGGAAAACCTGTCTGATGTGCAATAACTGCTTATTATTGTGATGATGATGATTTAACTTGTGATAAATGAATACATAAGTATCTGTGTTGATGTCTTTCAACAAACATAAACTAAAACATAATTTCTATGCCAACATGACAGTTTCTTTATGATTTTAAACATCTCCCCCATTAAACATTTTCTGATGCTCCAGATAGTGAAAAACACCCTTTATTGCAGTGGTTCTAAATTCTGGTCCTCATGATGCAGTATCCTGCATGTTTTGGTTGTTTTCCTACTCCTCTGCAGAAGCCTGTCAATCACCCAATAATTTAAATCAGGTGTGTCAAAGCTAGAAAACCACTAAAACATGCAGGACAGTGGGTCACAAGGACTGGAAATGATAATCACTGCTTCACTATCAGTTTGTTATAAATAATAAAAACTTCTGAAAACAAGGTAAAGTATTTTCAATAAAATTAACAAACCTAAATCCAGCTGCATATTATCTCACTGCAGTCATTTCCACTGACCAAGTGGTTATGATTTGATGTGGTTTCTCTTATCAGACTGATGAAAAAATAAATACAAAAAAATTCTTTTGTTGTAAAACCTCTGGGACAATAATGACAACATTTACTGGAGAATAGTTTTCTATGAATTCTCAAGCTGTGGAGGAAGACTATGAGGATATAAACGCGATGTAAAAATGCAATGCTATTTTTTCCAATATCATGCAGCCTGTTACTTTTATTTTATGTAAAACAAAATTTATTATTTACTGATAATTATTATGTACTGAATAAATGTTTACATTATATGAAAGGAAACATTTTTCACTTCAAGTTCTCAAACTTCGGTTCTTACTGTATTTCTGTCTCCCACAGTTTGTCAGTTTAAAATCTGTTGCATTGAATAAACAACCAAACTTACCATCAAATATTTCCCTTTGTCCTACAATTAAGATGAACATCAGAGCTACAACAGTTGCAGTCCAAAAAATTCATCTCGACACAAATAGTTTATGACTTACCTATTTTACAAGGCCTGAATAGGAGTCTCCCAGAATCCACTGTGTCTCAGATCTTCCCCAAAGTCAGCTTCTCTGAAACAATTATACAGTATAATGGAGTTAAAACCATTACCAGATTTTTAATTCAACACATTTATCACATACTGAATTTTATTTTATATACGTCTAGACCAACTTACCTATACAATGCTATATAGTTTTTGGTTGTAGAATGAATCACATATGATAATCTACCAGACTAAATATCTAATAACAGATTATAAATCCTGCTGAGGCTGAACAAACACAGAGAACTTGGTAATAAAAGCCTTCAATATATTTTCTTACCGATCTGCGTTACCAACAACACTGAAAGGACCGGGAAATGATGTGTGGTCATCTGAAGTTTGGTTGTTGTTGTTATTTTAGCCAAATAAACATCCAGACATCTACAAAAAACAATTACATAAACAATTTGTCAGGGTTGTCTTTTAATCACACACATTTAACTTTGTAACATACTCCTAACATGTCACACTGTTTTCATCTTTTAAAGAAAGATGACATTCAGACAGAAGGTGAAAAAAACATTACCCAGTATAGTTCCAAAAACCCATCATCTTTCCTGGGTTTTTTATTTATTTTTATACAAGTGCCCACAGCTGCTGAGTTAGTAATACAACTTCTATATTTCTAAACAAAAAGTAATCAGCAACAGCATATATTC